TCCAGGGATGCTGTGAAATGTGGGAAATCAGAGTTCTTTGCCACCAACTGTGGGGGGAGGTAACAAAGTGCTTTTACTAAATGCCAATATGTACAAGAAGTCCCCCTGTGGACAACAGTATCTCACACTATTACTGTTTGAATCCAGTTTTTCTATTTCAAAACAATAGTCTCTCTGCACCACAGGAGTGCCAATGTGCTCCGTCACGACAGTTTGCAGAGGTTTATTGCTGGACAACTTAAGATCTACTTCTTAAACTCAAAGAAGAATTTTAAGCTTAAAGAGCTATTAGCAAATTCACAAGTCATTTTTGTATTTCAAACTCATATTAAGCATATAAAAAACTGTCTGAAATTTTCATATCTGTTTGAATTCCTAATGTCTTTTACATAAGAGTAAGAGCTTAAGTTGGCCAACATTTTGGATTGAATTGTAGAATGTTTGTACTTAATTCCTTATTTGCAAGCTTTCTAGCCTTTGAAATTACTCCAAAGGTTCTTTCCCTTCTTTTAACCAAAGAGAATTCTGCTGAAATCTTTATTAATTTGTTTAATATAGTAACTTACTATTAGTCTGCTTTGTCAGAGAGTTGAGTTTGGATTGTTGTCACTTTTCTTTCTATCTATCTATCTTTTTTTTTTTTTAAGAGACAGAGTCTCACTTTATTGCCCTCGGTAGAGTGCTGTGGCATCACAGCTCACAGCAACCTTCAACTCCTGGGTTTAGGCGATTCTCTTGCCTCAGCCTCCTGAGTAGCTGGGACCACAGGTGCTTGTTACAACACCCAGCTATTTTTGTTGCAGTTTGGCTGGGGCCGGGTTCGAACCTGCCACCCTCAGTATATAGGGCTGGCACCCTACCCATTGAGCTATAGGTGCCACCCTGTTGTCACTTTTCTTTTAAAACTACCCTTTACGGGCTGGGCATGGTGGCTAGCACTTGTAATCCTAGCATTCTGAGAGTCTGAAGCAGGTGGATTGCTTGAGCTTAGAAGTTTGAGACTAGCCTGAGGAAGAATAAGACCTCCCTCTCTGCTGAAAGTAGAAAAACTAGCCAGGAGTTGTAGCAGGTGCCTGTAGTCTCAGCTACTGAGGCAAGAAGATTGTTCCAACCCAGGACTTTGAGGTTGCTGTGAGGTATGATACCATAGCAGTCTACCCAGGGTAACAGAGCGAGACTCTGTCTTAAATAAATAAATAAATAAAATTAAATAAAACCACCCTTTACAGATTGATAGAACAGTGCAAAGAGAAAACTATGGTAAGCTAAAAATAATGATAATAATTAGCCACTGTCCCCCTGTTTGTTTGCCCGTAATTGCTACTCAGGAGTCAATACCTGGTTGTCATAGATTCTTAGTGTTATCCATAGATTACATTGCCTTTTCAAAACCTGGGGGTTGTTTCTGAGATATCTACCAGGTCCCATATTCCAGTTGATTGGCTGACCCACCCAAATCAGCAACCCATACCAACTCCACTGGAATGGTGGCCCCAGGAACTGAAGCAACACAAGAAGATGTGTACACTCCTTTAATTTTATCCCAACCTAGACAATTAGCAAATTCAATTGCCTAATCTTTTGCCCACCAAACTATCCTTATAGAACCTAGCTCCCAAATTCTCAGGGAGGCAGATTTGAGAAATTTCTCCCATCTCCCCACTTACTGCTATGCAGATTAAACTTTCTCTCTGTAACACCTCCTATCTCCGTGTATTGATTTCCTCTCTGTGTATTGATAATACCTATCTCCGTGTATTGATTTCCTCTTGGGCAGTGGGCAATGAACCTGGTTTGAGTGGCAACACCTTCACAGAGACTAGAATTTTTGAGACTATTTTTGACTGTGCCCTTACAGTAATATATAGAGTAATGTATCAACTGAGTTAGAACGACATGGTTGTGAAATGGTTATGAAAGTTTGTAATTTTATCAATGACCACATTAAAATTGCTCCTGCAATTGACTGCTCCTATTTGTTTTTTGTAAATCAGCTAAAATATATGAGCATTATATTAATTAAAAAGATCTATAAACCCAAAGGAAAGAAAGTATCCAAGGTAGCCCTTTTCCTTTTTTTTTTTTTTTTTGAGACAGAGCCTCAAGCTGTCCCCCTGGGTAGAGTGCCATGGCATTACAGCTCACAGCAACCTCCAACTCCTGGGCTCAAGCGAGTCTCTTGCCTCTGCCTCCCAAGTAGCTGGGACCACAGGCGCCCGTCACAACGCCTGGCTATTTTTTGGTTGCAGCCGTCATTGTTGTTTGGCAGGTCCGGGCTGGGGATTTGAACCCGCCACCTTAGGTGTACGTGGCTGGCGCCTTAGCCGGTTGAGCTATAGCCGGTAGCCCTTTTCAATATCACTATTATTTCTGTATAGAATAGTCAACTTCCTAACAAGTGTAGCATATGTGGAAGTCTCTAGCCAGGGTATCTATTAACCACCCATTCATTCACGTGTTCTTTGAGAAACTGTTTATCTTACATTTCAAATGGAATTCTAAATGAGCTTTTTATCTATCAGCTGCCTCGGGAACTTTACAGAACTTTCTTTGAAGTACAAGGAAGCCAGTCGTTAATTTTAGATACAAAGGAGATCTTCAAGCATGATCAACTTTTCATGTTTCTGTATCATTTTGGAAAGTGCAGTTTTCCCTGTGTGAGATTCTTAACACAGAATGGCAGGGGAAGGGCTCCGAAATGAAGCCACCAGGAAACAAAGGGCCAGGCTGATACTGCAGTCCTTCCGCTACGATAGTCAAATCATGTTCAGTCAAACCACATTCCAGTGACCCACATGGTATTTCTGTGTATAATGTGGAGTTAGGTAGGGTCTGATTTTGTGCCTTTTTCCTCTATTGTCTCAGAACCTAGTCCAGTCCCTTTCTGTCCTCACTGTGTGTCGTGCCTTTCATTAACATGAGGTTCTGTTTTGAGACTCTTATGCACCTCCATATATCTAGTCCTGAACAGACAGTACAGCACCTTCATGACAAGACTTGTGCTATCTGGTAGATCTGGTCCTTCCCGCCTGTTCTCTTAGTTTGTCTTGGTTATTTTGACCCTTAGCATTCCACTTTATTTTTGTTTTTCATTTTTGTTTTTCATTTTTTTTGCAGTTTATGGCAGGGGCTGGGTTTGAACCCACCATCTCCGGCACATGGGGCTAGCACCCCAGTCCTTTGAGCCACAGGCGCTGCCAAGCATTCCACTTTAAATTGAGGATCAGGATTATCGGCAGGCTGTTTGTACTTCAGTCATTTTCATTGCACAGCAACAGTATTTTGGCTTCCTTCCTCCTCCTCATAGCTATCATTCATTATGGTCTTATTTTCTTGGACTAGCGGGGCTGTCCCGGATCATGAGGAATAGCAGAAGTCACGGCATGATTCTTGTTATTGCTGACATTAAAGAAGACACTTCTCTTGGTTCACCCTTATGTATGATGCTTGCTTTAAGTTTTTGGTAGAGACTTTTTATCGAGTTAAGGAGGTTTTCTTCTATTCCTAGTTTGCTAAGAAGTTTCTATTTTTTGCTAAGAGTCTTGATCACAAATGAGTTGTAAGTGTCTAAAATCCTCAAGCATTTATTTAGTATCTATTGAGATGATAGCATGATTTATGTTTTTTCTCTTTCATCTGTTAATGTGGTTTATTACTCAGATGGATGTTTTGATGTTGTAATATGTTGCATTTCTAGGATAAACAGAAAATATGATTATGCAAATAATGACAGGAAGGTCATAGACAACACAGCTTCATTAAGGAGTTTCAACTGTTGGAAAGATGTTCTAGAAGAAAAGATAAGCATTTGTCAGATGTTCAGGGACTTCTGCCAAATCTTAGATTTAAACATCTGTTTATAGGGAAATGTAGATAGCTACCAACTTATGCTGAGAACTTTTAAATGTCTTCTTTATTGGACAATATAAAATATAAAATAGCATGATCTTGTAAATTAGCAACAACCAAAACAACCCCTTTGTTTTCAGAATCCAGGAGGTGGACGCTGGTATTTATGTGGTATTGAAATGAGAAAAGGTTTTGTTTCATTTTTAATGCTGATCATATGGATATACATACATATGCGTCTGTACACATATGCTTATAAGGAAAATATATACGGTAAACCTTCTGTAAGTTGACCACCCAAGGGGTTGTGACCAAGTGGTCCACATGCAGAGGTGGTCAACGTAAGGAACTTTGATGCCCATAGGGAAAGGCCACGGGTGAGGAAAGCGGGGGATGCCAAGTTAGCGTGGACAGGGCATCACACGCCTCTTGCACATGTCCTGCCCTCAGTGGTTCTCACCCAGCTATCTCACGGAGCAAACAAGCTCTGAGCTGTGTCACCAGAGCAGACAAATCAGACATGTCAAACACCACACATTAAAGTGGCTAAAAGCAGGACAAAATATCTTTTTTTTAAAAAAATGTATTATAGCATAACTGTGTACATTAATGCAATCATGGGGTGCAGTGTGCTGTTTTCATATACATTTTGAAATACTCTCATCAAACTGGTTAACATAACCTTCATGTCATTTTCTTAGTTATTGAGTTAAAACGTTCATACTCTGCTTTTAGAAAGATTCACTTGTACCCTTGTAAGATAAACCATAGAGGTGACCCCACCAATCACCCTCCCTCACCTCATCCACCCCCCTCCAGGAAAAAACATCTTAAAATGGCAAGTTTTTTTTTTTCACTCCACCCTCTGAAGATTTGCATGTAGATACCGTTTTAATCATTTGGTTATTCCACTGGAATATTCCTACTAGTGCAGGAGAGAGAGACAGAGAGAGTCACGATCTTAATTTATATCAAGTTTCTCCACATGTTATGAGATAGTAATTAATAATTTTGGTTTTGAAATATCCTCTATTATCTCCAGTTATCTCAAGAGAGCTCATATATTTTCCCCAAAAAGTCCTCAAAGAAAAATATTGAGATATGCCTAGAGGGCTGTGGAAGTAATCCCTCTCTTTTTGTCTTTCCAGAATCACACCATGCCAAACTACAAACTCACTTATTTTAATATGAGAGGGAGAGCAGAAATTATTCGTTACATATTTGCTTATTTGGACATTGCGTATGAAGACCACCGAATAGAACGAGCTGATTGGCCTAAAATCAAATCAAGTGAGTAGTTCCAACAATAGTCCAAGAAAATGTAGGGGAAATATACTTTCAGAAATGTTTGGTTTTCCTCAGGGAAATAAAAAATATGACTGTTTTTGAATGTCATAAATCTGTCACTTGAGAAGCAACAGTTCAGGTAAACTCAATAAATGCTATGTGAGCCAGTAATTTTCCTATTAGAGGTGAATACACAAACTTCACAGGAAGACAATGTAAAGATTAACCAGAGTAAAGCTTTATCATAAGAGCTGAAAGGGACATGAGATGGAATATTGGCTCAACTGTACAGCACAGAATTCAGGGAATTTTTCCAGTCTCACAACTCTAGTAAGTAGAGCTGAGTTTCAAACCCAGGTCAATTTAATACCAAGCCCAAGTTATTTGCACTAGACAATACCAAAAGTAATCCTGCTGTGATAAGTGGTATATTAATAGTAAGTTGTTGTATGCCTTTTGGAAGCATGAGCTCCTTAAAAGTCATTGCCCCTATAATCTCTATTCTTCTTGGCAGACATCTCTGATGGGATAGAATAGCTTATTTTCTAGTCTCATGAAACTTTACCAATTAATATTCAAATGTTTCTTCTGATATCAGAATTTGTACATGAGATTTTAAGATGGTGAACATACAATAGGTGAACACTAATTTTAGTCCCTGATTGATTAGACCAAGATGGATAGCAAAGAGTAAGCAAGGATATTACATATAACAAATTTTGCCTTTTGGCTTTTAAATATAAGTTGTTTGGATGTCTCTTACCCTATTCTACCTTGACTTTTCATTATGTTATTACAAATGGAGTTTCTACATGTTCTTAGTATTTTCATAGATTCTCAGAGTTGAAGGAGACCATAAAGTCCATGATGGTTAGGACATAGTTTCAAATGCTTTAGTTGATGGAGAACCAACATAAAAGTGTCTTAAAGTAGACAGAAGTTTTATTTGCATAAAAATCCAAGTTGGCATAGTGATTTCACTCCTTGAAGTTGTCAAAGCTTAGGCTCCTTCTTTCTTGTTGATCTGCTAAATAGTTGTCTTATTTACACACTGTAAATAGAGGAGAATCTCTGGAAGTTAACCATGCAAGAGACTGTAACTGGTCAACAGACAGAGATGGTCAAAAAAAGGAACTAGGCCTGCTGTCCTGACACGTACGTGTGGTGCATGTGCGGTGTATGAAAATGAGATCATCTTTAGGAAGTGGTCAGTGCAGGTAGGTGGTCAGCTGCAGAAGTTCTACTGTATTTTCATTTAATATTCTATCTGAAAGTGGGAAAGGTGGAGGGGGCATATTCCTTCCTCTTAAGCACCATGAGTAGAAAGCTGCGTAAGTCACCTGGCAAGAACTGAGTCTCACGAAAGACAAGCTGAGAAATGTCCACGGTATTGTGGATAGCCACCTGCCTAGTTAAAAATCTGGGGTTTTATTACTTTGAGAAAAAGGAAAAGAATATGTACTAAGAAGCAGTTTCCATTACAAAATTTGGTTTCATCTGCCATCCAGTCTAGTGGTGCTCTCTAGCCTGCTGATTCCACAACTAAATCTCCATTCAATGCATTCCATCGTGGGATATTTTTATTACTAAGTTCTTCCTGGAGAAAAGGAGATTGGGCTCACGTGTTTACATTTGCTCTTCTCTAAAACTTTTTTTCTCTCCTTTAATAACATTAAAGTACTTTCTAAAAAAGATAAAACGCCCATAAAAGAAATAAAACTTGAATATGAAAATGATAGCACAAAACTCTGGTGAAGTGACGTAGTTGGCCTGTAAGTATAAATAAGCCTGCAAGAGGACAGGGCAAGCTGGATCACCCCAGAGATACTTATAAAAGGCTCATGAATTAGTAGCCGCAGAAAACTATAGAACAGTGGTTCTCAACCTTCCTAATGCCGCAACCCTTGAATACAGTTCCTCATGTTGTGGTGAGCCCCCACCATAAAATTATTTTTGTTGCTACTCCATAACTGTAATTTTGCTACTGTTATGAATCACAATGTAAATATCTGATATGTAGGATGGTCTTAGGCAACCCCTGTGAAAGGGTCATTTGACCCCCAAAGGGGTCGCAACCCACAGGTTGAGAACCGCTGCTATAGAAGCTGAGCTAGTAGAGGATTAGGATGTGAAGTAGTCTGACCACCAGATCCCTTCCCTTCCCTGGAAGAAGTGTGGAGGTGACTCTCAAGAGGACATGGACCAGAGGATTCCAGGACAACAGGCATATCTGAGAACACAACGCTATAATAAAGATCAAATTTAGTAGAAGCCTAGACATTTAAATGGTCTAGACTTCCCCCACTCTATAAGCAGAATGCTACAACCAGGTTAATATCTCTCAGGCAAAAATTGGAAAAATTCTCTCTGGAGAAGCAGACCAGTCCAGGCAGCTACTGAAGAGATGGAGGTTTCTCAATGAAATGGGCCAGCCAATCTGTTGGCAAGCTCCTCCCACACACATTCCAGTTAGCTACTATTTCTTTCTTTGCCCTTTAAAATGGGAATGGCAAGCCAAAACTCAATAGATACTTGAGAATAGTGCCTGCTAGGAAACAGACCCACATAAAGCAGCAGAAGAAAAAAAGCAATTCTGAGGAAGCCAAGATAATTTAGCAAGAAAAAACTTCAAAAATGTTACAAAATCTTCAGACAGCTAAGAGAAGATATTCTATACATAAAACAAGAATAGTCTGTTATAAAAAAGAATGTTTAGGCTCAGAACCTGTGGCTTAAGCAGCTAAGGTGCCAGCCACATACACCTGAGCTGGCGAGTTCTAATCCAGCCTGGGCCCGCCAAACAACAATGATGGCTGCAACCAGAAAATAGCCAGGTGTTGTGGCGGGCGCCTGTAGTCCCAGCTACTTGGGAGGTGGAGGCAAGAGAATCACTTGAGCCCAGAAGTGAGCTGTGAGCTGTGAGCTGTGATGCCACGGCACTCTACCCAAGGGGATAGCTTGAGGCCCTGTCTCAAAAAAAAACCCCAAAAGAATGTTTAGGGACAAATTATTCTTCAGAATTAAAGACATTATATAAACAAACCAATAACTGATAAAAATAAGAACACCCTCCCGAAAAATACAAAAGGACAAAGAAATAGAAAATAAAACAAGAAATATAAGTAAAATTGAGGATCAATTAGCTTATCAGATACATTCTCCAAATAAAATTCTGGGAAAAAAAAATCAGAAAATAGAAAGGAAGCAAACTTTCAAAGAATCTTCCTTATACAAAATTGAAATCTGTCTCCTTCTGGCTTTCATATGTTGATCTTAGGCTAAATGAAGAACAGATTACTCCTTCCTTTTTTTACATCTAAATATTCATCACAGAGAAAAAGCCATTGCTGAGCAGTCAGTTCAATGTAAATGCTCTGAGTGAAGACAAAAGCGTTTGTCAGAATTCAGCACTGAGTCCCCATTTAATCCGTGAGTCTGTACCTCTCCTTAGATTACAATTTCTGGGACTTCCATGATTGTTTCTCTGATTCCCATTGTTAATTTTAGTCCAATTGTAACATCTCTACTCTCCTTCTTGACTTGGATATCATTTCCCCTGGACTATCTGAGATCTGCAATCACATCTAGGCTCAAGGGCCAGCTCTCTTCTATTCCTTGAGGGTTCCATTTATATTCCCTGGTTTGGATTTCTTCACCACATAAGTGGGTGTCCACTGAACAAGTCCCTGTTACATTACACCTGCCATTTAAGGTGTGGTACCCAAGGGGTTGTCCGATGTTTCAGGGACCAGAACAACACAGAGCAAAATGGGACTAACATCCTTGTCACAAGTCCAGCCATTATGCCAAGACATTTTACTAAGATCACAGTAGTTATTTTGGCAGCCGTATCACACTGCAGCCTCATATTTGGTGTAACTAAATTCCTTAAAGCTTTTTGACGTGTGCTTCTGTTAACATGTCGACCCTGCCAATTTGCAACAACCCTGAAATTATTTTATTTTCTGGAACCAAATGAAGAGCTTAGCATTTGTCTCCTTAAATTTCTTCTTGTTAGATGCAGCCCAATGTTCCAGCGGTTGGCAGTTATCCTAAGGCTGATTCCATCACTTCCAGTGGCTGACACTTACTATCTCAAAAGAAAACACATTCTGTTGGCAAAAGTTCTAATGCTAACAAAAGTATTCTTAATCAGCCCTTTTTTCTATTACTCTTTGGTTTGACTTCTGCATTTTAGAGGGAATCAGAATGAGTCAAAATTTTCTTCCATCAGACATCTGTGCCCCATTTGAAGATGACTGTTATGTTCCAATTACTTTGTCTTAGCTCCTCCCGGTGAAGCGTGTCAAGGTTCTTCAACCGATCTTCACAAAATGTAGTCAGCCACTCCCTAACTTGGGTATTATTTTCTGGGCTTGCTCTGATTTTTAGTATTTTTCTCAAAGCCTGGGCTACTAGAACTAACAAGAAAGCTGAGCAAGTATTTCAGCCGACCTCAGTTTGAATACTGCCTTTACCAGTTGTGTGACCTGGGTAATTTACAGAACCTCTTTTACCTCATTCTTTCATTTATAAGATGAGACAATAGTTAACACTTACTTCATAGGGTAAGGGAAAGAAGACCGAATGGGCATGTTAAATATTTAGTACAATGCTGAGCGCAAAGGAAGCCTCTCCCCAAATGTTAGGCATATCAGTTCCCGATTCAATCAACTTTATTTGGGATTTTGTTTTGCTCACTACAGTATCTCAGACACCAAGAATAAAACTTGGCACACTCATTAGTTTAGGACTTATAGATGTTTTTATTTCTGATGTGAAGTGTAGTTCATACTTATTCAATCTTCATATGAAAGATAATTGAAAGAGCTACGCAAAGTTGATTCCATTAGAGTGGGAGGGTCGTGAGAGCACATGTGGCACTTTATTCCTTTCTCTCTTTCCAAAATTGTAGGTTTAAAACCAAGGCACTGGTTGGGAAAGTTATGATCAGTATACATGCCAATATTACAGAGTCATTAAAAAGATAATGTTTCAGGGTGGCACCTGTGGCTCAAGGAGTAGGGCACCAGTCCCATATACCAGAGGTGGTGGGTTCAAACCCGGCTCTGGCCAAAAACTGCAAAAAACAAAAAAAAAAAGAAAAAGAAAAAAGAAAATTTTTCATTGATTTAGAAAATTTTTTAAAAGATGCTGTAACAGACACACACAAAATGGTTTACAAAACATTCTATACAACATAATTTTGTTTTAAAAATATATGTGAAAAATCAGTTGAAATACTAAAATGGTTATGACTTGTGGTAGAATTATTTTTATCAACTCAGAACTTTTCTATAATACGTGCTTATTACTTTGTGACAAAACCAATAAGATTTGATAAAATGTTGATATTCTATCTGGTATGAATTTGTCTGATATTTGTGAAAAAATGTTTACTGCCTTACACTACAAATCAAATAGTCTCCCATCACAATAAAGTAGGGCTTGAAGATAGCTGACTAGAGGCACCAGCACGGGCGTCCTTTACAAAGAAGGATGAAAATTATAAGTAGAAAACTTTATGTTTAAGAGAGAACACTGGAGTAAGTTCTCACCTGTCAATAAAAACCTTAGAGGTAAACAATTTAAGTTTTCCAATTAGAAGAGATAAACTGGCTAAATGGAAACAAAAATAAAAAAACAAAACCAAGACCCAACTATATGCTGCATACCACAAACTTACTCCACCTACAAGATACGCAGACTAAAAGGGAAGGGATGAAAAATAATTACATGCAGAAACAAAAGCATGCAGAAGGAGCTATATTTATAACATGCAAAATAGACCGTAAGCTGAAAAACATAAAAAAGAGACGAAATTCTTTATATAGTGGTAAGAGGATCAATTCAAGAGCAGGATATAACAGTTGTCAGTATGTACGCACTCAACATAGGAGCTAGAGTCGGAGCTAGACGCCAACACAGTAATAGTTGGGAATGTCGACACTCTAGTTTCAGCATTGGAATGGTCACGTAGACTGAAAACCAACTAAGAACATCAGATTTAATCTATACTACAGACCCAGTGGACTTAACTTATTTACAGAGCATTTTGTCCAACAGCTACAGAATATACAGGGTATTCCTGACCACATGTTAAGCCACAAAAAGTTCTCAACAAATTTTGAAAAATCAAAATTATAGCAAGTTTCTTCTCAGATCACATGGACTAAAACCAGAAACCAATAACAAGGGGAACTTTGGAAATTGCACAAATGCATAGAAATTAAATAATATGCTCCTGAATGACCCTTGGGTCAATGAAGAAATTAAGGGAGACATCATAAAACTTCTCGGGACAAAGGAAAATTGAAACACACACACACACACACACCCCCCCAAAAAAAAAGAAAGAAAGAAAATTGAAACACAATATACCAAAATTTGTGGCATACAGAAAAAGCAGTATTAAGTGGGAAGTCTGTAGGCTCGGCGCCTGTAGCACAGTGGTTATGGCATCAGCCACACACATTGAGGTTGGTGGGTTGGAACCCAGCCCAGGCCAGCTAAACAATAATGACAAATGCAACAAAAAATAGCCAGGTTGGGGCAGGTGGATCATGGGAACTCAGGAGTTCTAGACCAGCCTGCATAAGAGTGAGATCTCATCTCTACTAAAAAGAGAAAAATTAGCCTGGTATTGTGGTGCATGCATGTAGTCCCAGCTACTTGGAAGGCAAGGTCTGAGGATCACTTGAGCCCAGGAGCTTGAGGTTGCTGTGAGCTATGATGCCATGGCTCTCTAGCTTGGAGTAACAGAATGAAACTCTGACTCAAAAAACAGATAAACAACAACAACAAAACAAAACAAAACTTCTTAAGAAGTTAAATAGTGTATGAAGCAACATCCAGTGTATATATAGCATCACTAGAAACCTGGGTTTCAGAGCTAGTCCTGTCACTAACTTCACAGCAGGCTTTCTAATAACTTTTTAAAAGCTTATAAAATATAAAGATAACACTAGAGATTGTCGAGTGTCCTTTTAAGAGAAAAATATTTTTTAAAAAATTTACGCATTCCAGGACTTTAAAATCATGCTTTGTTTCCATAACTATCAGTAGTAATGGAAGTACTATAATTCCCGGTTTTGTTATGAACTTGATTCTTTGCTCATTTTATTTTAAGCTCTTCCATTTCACAAAATCCCCATTTTGGAGGTCGATGGACTTATCCTTCACCAGAGCCTAGCAATAGCGAGATACCTGACGAAGAACACAGGTAATATCTTTATCATGTTTAAGATTGTTGATAACTGAAAAAGTACGTACCATATATCCAATATTCATTAATACCCTATTACTGACCACTACAGCACAAACAAGAAGGGGAATAAATACGAGAGAAGTATCTATGTACCATCTGTATCAGTTTCATTTTCTGTGAGTTCCCTGGACAATTAGACAACTTTATTTGATCTTGCCTCCTGACCTCCTGCTTTCCTATCCCAAACCTCTTTGCCCCTTAAGACCTTTCTCGAATTTCACTGAAAAATTGGACAGATATGTCTCGACCCAAACTTTCTCTACAATGTGTGTTATAAGTTATCAGAGAAAATTAATTAGCAGGAAATATATATGAATAAATAGAATTCCTTGGACTAATCCCTAATTATGGACTCAAAGATGTCCTTCATCCAAATTATGCTAAAAAAAATATAGGGGGAGTTTTGTCTCCATTGAGTGCCATTCAGGGATCTTCATCACACAGTTAGTTGGCTTCCAGATTATTTTGTATTTGATGGGCAGAACTGCAGGGAAGCACATTGGGTCACTGGAAAAGAACAAGTTGCAATGGAAAAGAAGAAAAATATGAGAAAATTTGTGAGGGCAGAAGCATTTTAGGAACTAGAAGTCAGGTGTTGTCAAGTGGAAGGCAGTCCATGTGGGGACAGGACAAGACAGACTGTAGCTTGGACGTGATCTGTCATCCTCACAATACCAGGTACTACTCCTACCATCCTCCTCCTCCTCTCCCCTCCCCCTCCTCGGCCTCCCAGAGTGCTAGGATTACAGGCATGAGCCACTGGGCCTGGACTCCTCTTCTTCTTTTTAAAAAAATTTCTCCACTTGCAATACTCTTTTCAACATCTGCCCTCTCTAGTCAGCCGTGAGTGCCATACAGGGAAACACAATGATCTCTTTTATTCCATGTTGTAGCATCAGCTGGAGGCTGATCATGGTAGGAGAACAGTAATTATATGTTCAATGAAAAAGGAAGAGCTGGTTGGAGGTCGGGTGTGATGATGGCGTTGGGGATTTGTTTAAGGAAGTTTGGGAACCAAAAGAGGAACCCAGAGACATACCCAAAATGAGGTTGAGAATATGGGCCTGCAGTTTAGGGCTAAAGAGCGAAGAGAACCTAGGAGAAAATTCTGAACACTTTTCAAGCTCAGAAAGAAGAATCAACTTTTGCATAGAACACACAAAAATAGAGTTTACAGAGGAACTCTAAATCACACAAGTGTTTTTTTTCACTTTTAACAGCTTCGAAGTATGATTTACACATGATTCACCGATGTTATTGGTATACAGTTCCTTGAATTTTAGTAAATGTAGACACATGTACAAAAGAAATCCCTTTTACAATGTATACTGAAGCATTTTAACTTGACATCAACAAGAAAATATTTAGGAAGATCCATGATTTCCTAGCAAAAATAATGCTTAAAAAAATGACAGGAAAGAATAAAGAGCCTTTATTATTGTAAACTTTTAGCCTCTAGGCAGAAAACAAATGCTCC